ATCATCTCTTCATTCCAACTTCCTAAGAGACCTGGCTTGGTCACCTTCTCCAAAAGCCCCCATTCCATTTTCATCCAAGACAGGTGGGCCTCCCACTACCCACCGTTGGGGAGTAGAAGGCAGTGGGGAGAGACACGGTCCACCTTCACAGGGAGTTGCAGAATCCCCAGCAGGCCTGTGAGCAGACTCACAGGTAAGTTAGTGCAACTAACTAGGTTAGTGATCTTCTTACAGATATGACTATTTAGCTTAAGAAGTTCCCAAAACAACAAAACACAGAACGGGCCCAAAGAAAGTAGAAATAAGGAAATAGTAAAGACAAAAGCAGCCAGATGCAGTGGTGCTCACCTGTCATCCCAGCAGCTCAGGAGGCTGAGGCAGTAGAATCACAAGTTCAAGGCCAGGACCAGCGATTTAGCAAGGCACTAAGCATCTTAGCAAGATCTTATCTCAAAAGAAAAGATTAAAAGGGCTAGGGATGTGGCTCAGTGGTAAATCAGCCCTGGGCTTAATTCCCCCACCCCCCCAAAAAAAATTCATGACATAGGAAATACATATACAACAGAAAAGATTGACAAAGCCAAAAGTTAGTTCTGTGCAACGATGAATGAAGGTGATAAACCTCTGAGAAGACTGATGGGAAAGTCAGCAGGAATAAGTAGATTGAGGATCTCCAAGGAGGACACAACGGCAAACACCACAGGGAGTTTATTGTAAGTAGAATACTAAAATAAACTGCAAATAAACCGTAAGTCTTATGATGATAGTCTGAAAACCTTCCCAAGATTAACACTATCCTAGAAATATATCTAGAAAGATATCTTACCAGTACTCCATCAAGAAAATTTGAGATGTAGAACCATTAAAGAAATTTGAATATGTAGATAAAAGTCCATCTACCACCCTCAAAAAAAAAATACCCCTCACATCACTAGCCTCATGATTCTTACTGCAGTCTACCATACATTCAAAGAACAGGCAGCTACAATCTCATACTTTTTTCAGAAAATAAAAAGAAAGCATGGAAGAAAGAAAAAGAACATCCCTAGGCTCCATTTCATGAGCAGAGTGTGATTTTTTTTTTTTT